GAGCATCTAGGTGGATAACTCAAACAGCTTTGGTGCTAAGATTATCTGGAAGCTTCTTTATCTACATGTCTGGAGCCTGGGTTGAAATGACTCTGAAGGTTAACTTCTCCTGGGACTGTCTACCAAAGTGCCTACATAATGCCTCTCCATGTGACTAGGGCTTCCTTACAGCATGGCCTAAGGACACTCAGGCATTTTATACAGTGGCCATAAGAGGGAGCATTCCAGCAAACAAAATAAAAGCTACATGGCCTTTTAAGATCTAAATTCAAAAGTCTTGGGGCACCTGGGTGGCTCAGTCGGTTAAGCATCTGCCTTCAGCTCAGGTCATGATCTCAGGGTCCTGGGATCGAGTCCCATGTTGGGCTCCCTGCTCAGCAAGGAGTCTGCTTCTACCCCTCCCTCTGCCCCTCCCCTCCCCCTGGCTTGTGCACTCTCTCTCAAATAAATAAATAAAATCTTTTTTTTAAATAAATAAGTAAATAATCAAAAATCTTTTAGCATCATTTCTGCCATATTCTATTGACTGAAACAGTTACCTCCCCATTGAGATTCATGAGGGGACACAGACTTTACTTCTTTTTCTTTTTTTTTTTTAAGATTTTATTTATTTATTTGACAGAGAGAGACACAGTGAGAGAGGGAACACAAGCAGAGGGAGTGGGAGAGGGAGAAGCAGGCTCCCTGCTCAGCAGGGAGCCCGATGCGGGGCTTGATCCCAGGACCCTGGGATCATCACCTGAGCTGAAGGCAGACGCTTAACCGACTGAGCCACCCAGGCGCCCCCAGACTTTACTTCTTGATGAAGCAATACCAAAGAATCTGTATCCAGGTTTTAGAACCACTTTAGTAGGCTTACCTGGGATGGTTTATTTCTGTTCTATGTGGCATCAGTTTGGATTACACATGCTTTTGTGATCACTCATGTGGCAGTCAACTGGGGGCTAGGTGATCCTAAATAGTGGTTGATATAAACTGAGGCACCTCAGTTTATATGGCCAAGCCCAGAATAAACGTGGAAGGGAATCACACAAAAGGCATGGGTACTGGGATGCATCATTCATTGGAGACCATTAATGTAACAATCTACCATACCTGGGCAACTCTCGTTTATCTTTAAAGACTCAATTCATATCTCACCTCCCTGTCTGACAGACTGGGTCATCACTTGCCCCTCCTTTGAAGTCCCACAATACTCTATACACATCCTACCATTGCCCTTACCATACTGCTTTCTAACTCTCTCTATACCATTTCTGTTTCCACCATTGGACAAGCCTTTGAAGGTAGAGATTGTGCTCTGTTGATCTTTGTAATTCCAGGGTCTAGCCCTGTGCCTAGAACATTGCACCTAGATCAATAATGTCTTTTAATTATATAATTATACACCCATGAATAAAGTTTTTAAATAAATGTTGAGGGGCGCCTGGATGGCTCAGTCAGTTGAGCCTCTGACTATTGATTTTGGCTCAGGTCATGATCCCAGGGTCCTAGGAACAAATCCCATGTTTCTCTCCCTCTCCTTCAATCAAACAATCAATCAATCAATAAAATGTCAAATATTACATCTCCATTGGTGCTCTGCCCTCTTGCCCTCTGCCCTGTGTTCTAAGAGATAAATTTTATTCTTTGTCATACTCTCCAACCAAATATGCACTTCTTCAGAGAGTGACCTCACTTGGGGAGCTGACCTCAACTAGAGATTAGGAGAGGAAGCAGAGTGTAGAGCCCTTGATTCCAAGATTTTTGAATTTCATAGTCAAGTCACGTTTCCAAAGAAATTTGCAGCTCAACAAGAAGTTACCAAATTTCTTTTTTTCTTTTTTTGGCTTTGGACATTAAAAACACACATGCCTTCTACCACCGACTACTGCCACTTCAAAGAAGCAAAGAGATATAACCTTAGCTTCAAAGCATAGGCCTTCCCAAGGAAGGGCAGGTATTTGCCATAAGACCGCAATTAGCCCCAAATCAGGACTCAACAGTATGTGCTGTCTTGACATGAAAAATCTGGAGCACCTCAACAGCCTAACCACAAGTCCTCCTTCCAACTTAGTTTCTGCTAATAAGTTCCCCTAGCCAATCAACCCTCCTTATCATGGGGATGAGGCACAATTCCTAACTATCTCTGAGTAGTGGGCTTCAGTTCCATGCCAACCCACAGAATTATTCAGCAAGCCAATGCTTAACAAACAAAGCCTACCTCGCATAGCTCCTGGCTGTTCACTCCGCTCCTGTGCAACTTCTGTGTGTGGTGCCCTCCTCTGGGCTGTGAGTATACGTGACTAATAAGCTGCTGTCCATCTCATCTGTCTGGTGTCAGGGGTCATGTGTTCAGCCATCTCCAAAACCCAGGTGTAAAAATCCCTCCCTTATCAACACAGTGAAGAGGAGGTGATCAGAACAAGGGGGCAACCTCACAGCTGTATTTAGACTATCCCACACTGTACTTGCTTTTCTTATTCACTACAGACCAGCGAAATCAGTCCAGTAGAAGTCAGAAGGCCCACCCTGGGAGCAGTGGAAAGCACTGTATGTGGAGTCAGGAGATCTAGGAGGTAGCCAGTCCTAACAAGTCCAAAGTACTTGTTGGTCCTTTGACAAATCCTTCCCCTCTTGGACCTCAGTCTGCAGCTACAAAATGATGGGATGGCTTCTGTCACTCTGTGACAACTGCCATACCCTCTAGAGTCCACACTCCCCTCCCCTTCCTGAACTAAAGTGCTTGGGGACCTAGAAAGTAGGCCAGGTCCTCATAACCTTATCAAAATAGTACAGCCAGGTCTTCCATCCAGCAACACTCAGAGACTCTGCCCTAGAGCAGGAAATAGCAGCCAGGGTCATGTCTAGCCAGAGCCCAGATATCTTCTGTAGTTAAGAGGCCTCTGGGTATCCACATGTTCTGCCAAAAAAAAAAAAAAAAAAAAGAACTGTCTCCAGTCCCATCCGTATGTGTGCCTGTGCATATGTGTGTGTGTGTGTGTGTGTGTGTGTGTGTGTGTGAGAGAGAGAGAGAGAGAGAGAGAGAGGAGGGTTAGGCCCCAGCCTAAAGCAACTGTGCTCTAACAGGAAAGACCTCCCCGGACAGCTCAGAAAGCTGTTAACCAGGAGAGACCACATAAGTGCATTGACAGGGAGGAGGCCAGTGTGTCTGGAATGTAGCCAGAAGATGAATGGGCAAGATGAGGTAGTGGTGAAGGCTGACAGCCAGGAGCCAGGACATCCAGGGCCTTAAAAATCATTGTGCAGACAATGAGAAGCCAGGTGACCTGATCTCTGAAGAGAGACGGTCTCACCAGACCAGCATTCTGCACTCCCCAGACCCTGGGGAGCTTGTGAAAAGTGCAAACACATACAGCGTACTGCTAGACAAGGGAGATCCCAGGCAGGCAGGGACAACTGCATTTTTCATAAACCTCCCCCACCCCCCGCCGGAGCTTCTATTGTTTACCCCAGTGAATGGCCCCTAGACTAGACCATCCTCGAAACTCATTCCAGTTAGAAAGTCCCATCACTCTGAGTGCCGGGAGGCCACCTAACCTCCCAGGGAGGGAGAGGGAAGTGAATCTCCCACTTGCTAGCCCAGGGATGACTTCCAACAGTAGCACTGCAGTAATGGAAACTGCAGTTAAGGTGCCAGGCTGACTTCTGTGAAGAAATAGGAGAATGGGCAGGCAGATGGCAGGGAGGCAGGGCCAGCCCACAGGATGCCCCAGCCAGAATTCACAAAGAGGCCATGAGGATGCAAATCAAACAAATAAACCTTTGATTAAAAAAATTCACTTCACCTGTGGGTGGGAGAGACAAGTCATTGGCACTGGCCATGAAAAAAAGAAAGAAGATCCAAAGGCTTCTGGCGACTTGAAATTGAATTGATAGGGCTAGGGCGGGTGCCTCACGGGATTAAGAGCCTGGTTTCCTCTATTCCTTTCTAGATGGTCCTGTCTCCTCCCCTTCCCCTCAGTTCCACAGTGTCCCCTCCCACTGGGCTGGGATGCAGGGGTGGAGTGCCTCAGTACTGAGGACATTCGGTTCCACAGCCCAGGGTGACTGGCCAGTTCTCCCACTTACTAGCCATTGAAACAGGATGGGGAGTGGGATGGGATGAACCCAGCACATTTTTGTGGGGTCAACACAGCCATGGATGTAATGCGCCTGGCGCAGTGCTCGGTAGAAAACAGTATTCCTTCTCTTGTCTGAAGACCAAACAAGCAGACACAACTCAGGGTCGAGGTGGGGCAGGAGGAGGGGAGGGGAGGGTCAGGAGGAGTATATGAAATCGAGAACATTCTAGCTCTCTGTTCCGGGAGATGCCAGCCCAGAAACTGAGGGAGACTGAGTGCCCCAGAGCAGAAAGCCCCTGAAGGATCGGGTGTTCTAGGATGGATGAGGGAGTGGGGCAGGGCTCAGGACCAGGAAGGATGGGATGCAGTGCCTGCCTTGCCTCTGAAAGTCTCCTCCAATGTGGAAAAACACTCCACCATCTTCCTTTGGAGAAAGCCTGGAATATTCCAACTCCAAAACTTCTCACTGGAGCCTCCAGGGAGGTGGGCTCCAGCTGAAAAGGAAAGGAGGCGGCGGGAGGAGGCGGGGCACTGACCAAAGGGGAGGGTTGCTGGCCTGCATCCTCCACTCCTTACCCCTTGGTTTTCCCACCGGCTTCTGAAGCCTAAGTCAGAAGAAAGGGTTAAAGCCTAAAATGGGGAGCAATCATTTCAGGGTTCTGGAAGGCAGCTAGCGTTCCCCGCATTGCCCCACCCTGATCCTCGGGGCCCTGAGCCCTCCTATCCCTGGTCTGGCCTGGCCTGGCAGCCAGAGAGTGAGGTCCGCCTTCTGCGGCAGACGGCCACTCTCCCACATCTATACCGGACCGCCTCCTCCTTCCTCCTCCCCATGCCATCCTTCCTCGCTCCCCCCTCCCCAGGCTCTGATTGGCCGCGTCCCCGGGCCCTCCCCGCTCCTCCACTCCCACCCCTGGTGAAAACTGCGGGCGCGGGCAGGGTGCAGCCACTGGAGGCGGCGGTGCGTCCGGGGGAGGCTACAGCGGCGGACGACAGGAGCCCAGGTGGGAGCGGGAGCCAGGGCGGGACCCGGGGCGCTGGGAGAGGCCCCAAGCGCCCAGGCAAGCCCTCCCAACCCGAGGCTTCGAGAAAAGGTTCGGGGGCGCCCTGGCAAGGAGCCTCGCCGTGCTTGGGTAGGGGGTCTGCTTCCCAAGTTGGGGGGGAGCGGGACGCAACTGCTGCAGGCCAGGGGCCGTGCCGCACCCCGCCTTTTGCGGAAGGCGCTCCCCGGTTTTCACCCCCTAAGGGGATGGTTGCCTGGGGCTGGGGCGCAGGAGGAGAACCGGGACGAAAAGCGCCAAGGACAGCCTTGGGTTCTGTTCTCCACGCAGACGTCCCCAAACCTGGCTCGCAAAGACGTGGGGTGGGGGCCGCGACATTGCGGGAGAGAACGGATGACCGAGAGGTGGAGGGAATCTCTGCCCTGCGACCTCGCAGCGGGCTGGGTGCGGGGCGTCAAAGGACAGGGAAACCGCAGTGCCGCGGGCGGGGACTGGAAGGCGGGCAGACGGGGGAGGGGAGAACTGGGAAAGGATGAGAGGGGGAAGGGGGACCTCAATTGGGAGAGGAGACGGGTGGAATACGGAAACGGAATGAGGGTGGGGCTAGCCGAACGGGGGTGGGCGGGTGCGGGGGCTGGAGAGGGAGGGAGTGCAGAACTTCTCTGGGTTCTGGGCTGCGGGGACACCAGGCAGAGGAAATGAAAACATCTGTGCCTCCCCTGCCGCTCTCTAACCATCCCTTTGGCTCTCCATCCCTCTCCAGCCCCAGCCCCATTTCATCCCCAGGTTCTAGCCCAGGCTTCCCCTTTTCCCTCCTAGATCTCGAGCTCGCACCTCCGTAACTCAGTGTGTGCGAATCAAAGCCAGATGCTGACCCCCTCTCTTCCCCAGCAGCACCCCCTGGGACCCTCTCGGTTATATTTCCCAAGAGTGTACCGACTGCAGCTCCTGGGCGCTGCAGGACCCCAGCCTCGCCTGGCCGCAGGACAGAGCGCCAGGGGGGCCTTGGATGCAGCCAGCGGTACACCCATCAGGGCCCCGTGGGCCCTCCCAGGCACAAGCCCCTCCTGTGTGGTCTCTCCCTGGCCAGCATCAGTGCGGACAGGCCAGGCTACCTGCTCCGTGACACCAGGATGTTGATCCAGACTAGGCTTTGAAAAAAGGCAGGGCACAGAGCTTAGGCAGGGAGTCTATTGAAGCCAGACTGGAAAACTGCAGGCCCAGGAGGCCTGCCCAGAGAGCTGGACATTTGGAAACATCTTGGTTCCTATGCAATCAGAGAACATATGCAATCAGAGAGCACTGTGTGCCTTAGCTGTGTGCCAACTACGGGCCCATCTGGAAGCACCTTAGCCACACAGCCCTTTCTAGAGGAAGGGAATTAACATTTATGGGTCACTCACTATGGAGCAGTCCTAGTGGCAGATGTTAGTCATTCTTCTTAATCCCCATCACAACCCTGTGGGTATCTAAAGTTCCTTCATTCATTCATTCAGGATCTTTTGAGCATCTATTATATGCCAGGAACTGTTTGGGCATTAGGGATTTTCTTCTGAACAAGAAACAGAAAATTCCCCAAATGGGGAGTTCTTGTGTAATGGGTAGAATTTTAGTGTTTCAAGATAAAGAGAGTTCTGGAGATTGCCTGCACAACGATGTGAGTGAATATAACACCACTGAATTGTACACTTAAAAATGATTAAGACAGGGGCACCTGGGTGGAGCAGCCAGTTAAGCCACTGACTCCTGGTTTCAGCTCAGCGTCCTGATCAAGCGCTGGGTCGCACTAGGCAGGGGGCACAGATCTGCTTGAGACTCATTCCCCCTCCCTCTCCCTCTGCTCCTCCCCCCTCCCTTGCACACGTGGTCTCTCTCTCTAAAATAGACAAATCTTTTTTAAAAATGATGAAGGTAGTAAATTTCGCACTAGCTCTACTTTGCCACAATTAGGAAATAGGATGTCCCTGCCTTCCTGAAGGAAAAAGGAAATGGTCAAAATCACTTTACTCCAAGTTTTCCACACAGAGACACACCATCATACGGTGTGTTCTCCCTCCCTTTACTTTCCCCAAGGGGGGAAGCACCAAGTGGCAGTGTCACGTTCACTCCTAAGTGGGAGGGGAGGACCGCAGAGAGAAGCTTGCATGCCTGCCACGGCCATGTGTCCCAGAGGCCCCCAGCCCTAGCAGTAAGTGTGGGCCCACCTGCCCCATCTCCTGGCTGATTCCTATACTGTTGCACCCCCAGATCAAGGACTGAGCTCCGGGCACCATGAACCCCACCATTGGCTTCGCTCTTTTGTTGACAGGTACTGGGCAAGGGGCAGGGCTGGGATTCCAAGCACCTTGGCTTCCTTCCCTTCAGAGAAGCTAGCTTCTTCCTCCCAACCTCAGAAGGAGGAGGTGGTTGAGGAGAGAGGGCTCTTTTTCATCCCTAAATCTGCTGAGTAACCTAGTTCATCTTCTGGCTGCCTGAGGCGGTTTTTGGAAAAAACAGCCCACTGAGTCTGCCCCATACTGAGCTGGAATCTCCAAATGGGAACCGGGAGCCTACATCAACTCCCCAAGATCTCCTGCCCCCCCCCCCCGGGATGCCCAAGACTAAAGAAGATGAGGGAAGGAGGCTGGGTCTGCAGCAGAAAAGCGGAAGTGGCCCACAGGGACCTCTGGGGTGGGGAGAGGGGCCCAAAGAGCAGACCCTTGTGCCCTCCCTGGCCAGACCATTCTCTCCTATTACTGTGGGTGGGAGGCCCCCTGCTCTGCAGGCCCCCCCAACTTGGGAGTGGGCACCGCTGGTGCCAGTCTTGCAGGGAGTCCGTGCGCAGGAAGTGACCAGCCTGACAGCCTGCCTGGTGGACCAGAGCCTTCGTCTGGACTGCCGCCACGAGAATACCACCACCTCGCCCATCCAGTATGAGTTCAGCCTGACCCGGGAGAAAAAGAAGCACGTGCTCTATGGCACTATGGGGGTGCCTGAGCACTCATACCGCTCCCGAACCAACTTCACCAGCAAGTACAACATCAAGGTCCTCTACTTATCCAGCTTCACCACGAAGGACGAGGGGACGTACACATGTGAACTCCGGCTCTCTGGCCAGCCTCCCGTCACCTCCAGCAAGACTGTCTCTGTGCTCAGAGGTAAGGCAAGCTCCCAACAAGGCCAAGTGAGCTGGGAGAGGGAGGCTAGGGAGGAGAGGGCTGGCTAGGACAGCAGGTAGTCCCCTTGGCCGGGCCAGAGACAAGAGGAGCCCCAGAACCTCTCTCTTCCCCCCGCCCCCCAGCAGCGGCTGCCTGGCGCCCTGGGGAACCACTGCCTACCGTGTGTATGGGAGGAAACGCTGGGGGGACAGTGAGACAGGCGGAACGGTGTCGCAGACACTTCTACCATGACTGGGCAGATCACCTGGCCTCCCCAATCCTCCTCCACCCCCGCCCAGAAGACAGGAATGACACTAGCTACCTCACCCACGGTTTCCTTTTGAAGATGCTCGATAAAAGATTTGATATGATGTTTGTTCAAGAGCTCAGGAACCTGCAAATGGGAAAAATAGTTGGTTCTCCTAGAGCAGACTGGCCCTGGTTCCAGCTAAGACATCGTGACACCAGCCTGCCCAAGGGAATAGGCCCCAGCTCGGGGCCTGTGCCTGCCTGAATCCCGGTCCCTCTTCATTCCTGCCCTGTCCCTCCCCCCCATTCTCTCTCCACAGACAAACTGGTCAAGTGTGAGGGCATAAGCCTGCTGGCCCAGAACACGTCGGGGCTGCTGATGCTCCTGCTCTCCCTGCCTCTCCTGCAGGCCATGGACTTCATCTCCCTGTGATTGCCCAGTCCAGAGACGAGTTGCTGAGCCCCTCCCCGCATCCCTCACACATCTTGAGGAGCAATGGGGACCCCGCCCCTCATAAGGAATCCCACTGCCGCATGCATCACCTACCCGCCCCTCCGCCCCCCTGCCACCCTCTCTGCACGCCACTGGCTGTCTTTTTTTTTTTTTTTTTTTTTTGTACTCTTGGTGCCAGAGTTGCTTCTGTCTGGTTTATCCTTCTTTTTCTTTGGGAATTTGTGAAAAGGGAAGCCAGGGTTGGGGACGTGATGGAGAGTGAGGGCATGGGAGGGGTAGAAGGATAGAGGGGTCCCAGTCCCAGGGGGACAAGGGGGGGTCATCCTTGCCCACCAGGACCAGCAGCCTAGGCGAGACCTGGAGGAGGAGGAGGTGCATCTGGGCCTAGCACATCCCTCAGCAGGCAGGGATGGTGCCCGAAGACGCCGGATGTGAGGGCACTGCCAAGCATTTGTGGCCCATCACAAGAGGAAAGAACTGAATGTCTCCAGGAGCATTCTCTGCCATAGCAAGAAGCCGTCCTTTTACTACTGCAGAGGTCCCCTAGGGGCCTTGGGCCTGGTGTGGCCCATCACAAGAGGAAAGAACTGAATGTCTCCAGGAGCATTCTCTGCCACAGCAAGAAGCCGTCCTTTTACCACTGCAGAGGTCCCCTAGGGGCCTTGGGCCTGGTGTGGCCCAGTGAAAAAGCAGATTCTGCCTGGGAGCAGTGCTAATGGAGGGCTGGAGACAGGGTAGAAGAGAGGGTCCATCATCCCTCTCTACCTGATGAAAATAAAATGAAGAGCCTACTGTCCCTCACTGCCTCAGCCAGCAGTTGAGAGGGTGGCAGAGGACCAGCCTCCTCCCAGCCTGTCCCAAGCTCCTACAAGCTTCCAGATCTCTGACCTGGAGGCAGTAAGCCAGGCCAGGTGGAGTCTCAGAGCAGAGGAGAGTTTGGCCCAAGTGTTTGGGAGGCTCTTCTTTCCCTGCCGGCTGGCGGCTGAGCCTTCCGGCAGCCCTCTGCCCCACAGGTCTGGCTTCTCGGGGACCTGGGGGATTGGAGGGGGTCTGCGGCAGCCCGTGGAGTGAGACCTGTATGCAGGACATGCCTCGACAGATGGCTTTTCCCAACACCCAGCTCCCCGCCCCCCCCCCCCACCCCGGCAGCTGCACCCTGTCCTGTGACTGTAGAGTGCACCACAGCTTATAGTATATCGCTGAGGACAAAGAGAACTGCACAATAAAACCAAGCCTCAAGAGAATGCCTCCCTGCCTTCCTCTGCTTTGCTCCCTCGTCTGTCCCCAGGCCCGCCTCCCTTCCCCTAGCCCCTAGCGGCGCATCTAGGAGCTCCGAACTGCCACCTTGAACTCTCCCTCTTCCCTGCCTTCATCAGCCCTTCCCCTCCCCTGCTGCCCCCGGGTCTGGTTTCTCGGAGACCTGAGGGATTGGGGGGGGAGCCCTGCATGCTGGACTTTTCAGAACCACTCTAACATGGTACATTGGCCCCAATAAATGAATGTTCCATCTCCGTTGACTCACCTGGCAGGAACAACAGATAAACTTGCCCATATGGGGCCCAATAGGCTAACAAGTGCTACGGGGTACAGTCTGCTTTTTCTTCTTGGATCTGGTTGTTCTCAGAAACGCCCCCTCAAGTGACATCTGCTAGAGAGAGGGGAGGTACTGGGGCACCGAGAGGAAGCACGGGAGGTGGCACAGTGGCAGCCCACATCATCAAGATGTTAGGACAAGCATCTCTTCTTAAATCCGACACAGGCCTATATCCAGGACTGGGGGAGTAGGGGAGGGGCAGTCTGGGCTTGGCTCCCTCCCCTAAAAGTCAATGAGTAGCATGTGAACATGCAGTCATCCTGGGGGTGCTGGGAGCTAGAATGGGACCACAGGGTGGTCCTAGGGTCCCCCAGAGAGCCTAACCAACTGCCTTTGCCAGGAAATGTGGGAGAAGAGGGTGGAGAGTATCCAGAGGCTTACTCATTTGGTATTCCCCACGATGTAGGCTGATTCTGAGCACTTACTTAAAGGCCCAGGCTCTAAATTCATGCCACTGGCTCCCACTTTCCCTGACACCTCCTATCGATGTCCATGCCCTGCCAGTGGCCATGCAGTGACCACGCCCAAAGATGGCAAGAGGAGCCTACATGTTGGAGAGGGAGCTGCTTGGATCACCGACCATGAGGCCCACACCACTCAGCATGGCGCAGCCAGCCTGGTGTCTCCAGAGGACACCAGGGGACACAGACTCCTCTTGTTCTGCCCTGCTTGGAGCTTCGAGTGCCATGCCAAGAAAATAAAAAGAGCCTTTGTGGGGGAAGGGAGTTTGAATGCCACCCTTGGGGTAGTAAGAGTTAAAGCTGGAAGGACCTTCTGGAAGGAATTGGGAAGCCAGGTGTGAAGCCTCAACTCTGAGAATACCACCTGTGTAGAGCCTCCTATGGGGCCTTTGTCATACCCTGGGGTGTGGTTTCCCCTGGAGGTTAGCAGCCACACTCTATGGAGGGAGGGTCCTGGGGAGATGACGCTGCAGCCATACCTGGGGGAGGAGAACCTAAGGCCTGCAGCAGGTGGGGCTAGCTTAAGAAGCCACAGAGAGGCCATCAGAGAACCAGGGGCTCTAGGAAGGCAGGAAAAGAGAAGAGGGGAATGGGTGGGGGCAGGCGCCCTACAAGTTCAAGTCTGAGCCATCAGGCCTCACCATGTAAGTCAAGAAAGAGCATGCTGTGGGCTCTCAGAGGCAGGCCACAACAGCCATCTGGTCCTCTCTGGGCAAGTCGGGAGGTCTTATAGAGGCTGCAGGATGGCCACAGTGACATGGCTAATCCTGAAGAGGGTTGGGGCCTGTCCTGGTTCCTGCACACATGCCCCAGGCCCAACCCCATCAACCTACCCCCCACTCCTCCTCACCCCGTCCCATGTCCCCTTCAGCCATCTCGGTCCCTACCCTGAGGCATGGAATTCTTCTTGGCCGATAGCAACAGAGCCCCTTTCTACACCCCCATTTCTGACTGGATCATCCATGCAGACAGAGGACTAGCTGCAAAGGACACGGTGTGCAAGGGTCTCTCCAACATCTAGGGACTCCCTCGGGAAGGGCAAGGAGGTCACCATGAGGAGAACACAGGGACTCTTTCACTGGCCAACCAATAAATCTATATGGTGTCCAGGGCACCTGTGATCTGCATCTTCCAGCCTCCTCCCAGTGTTTGTAGCTTCCATGCTGTGAAGGGCATGTCTGTCTTTACAGGAGAAAGCAGCCACCTCAGGTGAAGAGGAAATGTTGGAGCTGGATCCCTTCAGAGTCCTGGCAAGGCACGGGTGGGGGTCATCAGCTCTCTCCCACTCAGCCCATGACAAAGGTGGCATTGCCTTCCTGCCCAGGGCTCTCAGATTCAGGAGACTCAGGCCCTGAATGCTCCCCCCGACCCCTCAGAGAGAAGCATGTCCTATGAAGACTCCCAGGAGGCATCACTGCCTAGAGGAAAGGTGTGGAAAGTGGACACATGGTGTAGGGGGCAACGTGGGACCAGTGGAAGAGTTCCATGGAGGCCAAGTGTGGCTCCACAGCCAGAAGGGGCCCTGGATGGTGGGCAGCGCCCAGCAGTGGACATAGTCAGTGGAGGCCACGTGCCCAGTCTGCAGGAAAGCAACTTCCTGAATTCGGTGGGAGCCAGGACCGGATGACCCTGGTCACTTCACTCTTCAATGCCTCACTTCTCCACTGTTCCAAATCACATGGTTGGGCTGGACTCATTTATTTGTATAAAAACATTAAAGACCTGGCTCTGGGCCGAGAAGTAAAAGACACAGTCTCTGGCTGAGGAAATCTACAGTCCAGTAAGAAGCAAAGAACTGGGGGCGCCTGGGTGGCTCAGCTTTTAAGCGTCTACCTTCGGCTCAGGTCATGATCCCGGGGTCCTGGGATCGAGCCCTGCGTCAGGCTCCCTGCTCTGCGGGAAGCCTGCTTCTCCCTCTTCCACTCCCCCTGCTTGTGTTCCCTCTCTCGCTGTGTCTCTCTCTGTCAAATAAATAAATAAAATCTTTAAAATAAATAAATAAATAAAAAGCATGCTTACATGAATGCATGTTTGCTGGGTCAAAACTCATCAAACTACATATTGAAAATGGGTGAATTTCATTAAATGTCAATTAGACCTCTCTAAGGTAACATGGGAATACATAAGTAGCCAGGCTAAAGGGCTTCCCAGAGGAGAAGTCATGAGCAGGAGTTAGCACAAAAAGCGAGCTCTATGGTTTTATAAGCTGATTACAAAGAAAGAAACATTATTTTATTTCTTCTGTATCCGGAAAAACATGGGAAGAGAGAGGGGAAGCTATTGTGTGTTCAGTCTGAGGACAGGCCTTGGCCTCTCTTCTAGGGCAACTCACCACGGCTGGTTGTTATAACAGCTCCCTGAGCACATGGGCCCATCATCAGGAGCCCTGACCCAGTCAGTATTCATTCACACATTCACTAAGTGCACACTCCATGCCAGAAAGTATAATTCCCTGGGCGGGATGATGGGAACAGAGTAGTGAACGAGACAGACAAGTTCCTACCCACAAAACGAACGCTATCTACAGAGGATGGACATTAAGTAAACCCATGAGTTAAGTCTCATCAGTATAGACTGGGATCATCTCCATGTAGGAGGTGATAAGGGGACACTTTAGTTAAGACAACCCAGGAGAGCCTGAGGAGGGGATGTGAGGCAGAGACCTCGAAGAGAAGCCTGCCTTTTCAAAAACAGCAGGAGTGCTTGCAGGCTGAGAGGAACAGTAAGGGCGTACTCAAGGTGTCCAGGCAAGAGATGGTACACCCTGATGTCCCTGAAGTGAGCCAGGTCCCTTGGGGCATTGCAGGTCACAGTGAAAAGTTTGCATTTTATTCTAAGGGCGACAGGGAGGTGATAAAGGATTTGACCTACCTAATAATGTTTTTAGACGATCCCTCTTGCTGCTCAGTGGGAAATGGATTGGAGAAGGACAACAGTATAAGGACTATTACAGTAATCCTAGGAGACACTACGGCAGCTTGGACAAGAATTGTAGCGGTCAAAGTGGAGGGAAGTGGTGACTTTCAGGTACACGCAGTTAAAACTGAGAGGCCTGGTGAAATCTGCATAAGGTCTGTGGATTTTACAACATCTGTTTCCCCACTCTGACGTACGATGGCTATTAAGATGTTACTGCTGGGGAAAACCAGGTGGAGGGTCCACCGGACCTCTTTATGCTATTTTTGCAACATCCCATAAATCTATAATTATTTTAAAATATTTTTAATTCTCAACAGCAAGCACACACCCAAAAAAAGATGGCAAGTACTAACTCCGGAGGGAGGAATAAAGGAATTCTTATCAGAGCACACTACCCGGCTTGGCTCTAAACAACACTCACATAGTCATCCTCATATATAAACACTGAACTGTCATGAGCACGAAACTTTAACCAAAAGTTGTGATAACACAGTCCTGGAGATGCAAGAAGGGTAAGTGTGTTTTGGGGGGGGGGCACAAAACAGGCATATAAGAAAGCTAAACCTCATTCCCACGGGTGAAAGTAAACAGATAATACTAGAAACTGAAAACGCAGGAAAGAGTTATCTATACGAGAAATTCTAAAGTACAGACGTAAATGGCAGAAAAACTAACCAAAATAGTTGAGAGTGGTTGCTTTGGGAAATGAGAATTCAGAATGGGGAAACAGACTGTTTTTATGTAATAAACCTAGGAATATAATACTCTTTTTTCTCTATAAATATATCAGTGCTAGGCAATAAAAAATATATTTAAAGAAATATGTTGGGGGCGCCTGGGTGGCTCAGTTGGTTAAGCGACTGCCTTCGGCTCAGGTCATGATCCTGGAGTCCCTGGATCGAGTCCCACATCGGGCTCTCTGCTCAGCAGGGAATCTGCTTCTCCCTCTGACCCTCCCCCTTCTCATGTGCTCTCTCTCTCTCATTCTCTCTCAAGTAAATAAATAAAATCTTTAAAAAAAAAAAAAAGAAATATGTTGAAGTCTGCCCCAAAGAACAGAGAGGACTTACTTACTAGTGGTTTGGATGGAAGTGGAAGTGTTGGAAGGAGAGGAGAAAGAATCCCAAATGACCCCTAGGTTTTTGCTTGGGCAGTGAATGGATAATGATGCCATCTGTTGAGATAGAAAAGGCTGGGGGGGTACGGGGGTGGGGAAATGGATGTATTAAATCGGCAATACCCATCAGACATCCAAATAGAAGTAACAAGAAGACAGCTGGATATCCCAGTTCTGAGCAGAGGGGAAAAGGCAGCGTTAGAGGTAAAACTTGGGAGACATCAGCATTTGGGTGGTAGGCACTGACCATGGGACAAGTAAGATTATGCAGGGAGACATTACAGAGAAATAATCAAGCCTAGGCCTAGAATCTGAGGTGGTCCAATATTTCAAGTTCTGGGGGAAGCAAAGGAGATTAAAGAGGAGCCAGAGAGGGAAGAGGAAAGCCAGGGGTCTGTGGAGCCAGAGAAGGGAAAGTTT